GACACCAAGATTTAACGTGGAAAAACCTCCAATCAGAGGAAAAAACCACGGGACAACCTCCGAACAATTCCACTATATTTTCAAGATAATTACAATATCTTTGACACTTTCTTACACTAGAAATGTAAAATATAGTGACCCAATGAGACCTCACTCCTAAACAAGGAATAATAGAGTTGATACCCAACCCGGTGTATTTTTCCCACACCCACAGGATTTACTCAAACACTCTATTTTTATCTTACTGAACAATAACACTTAAAGATGTTATTTCTTCTCCCTTTTTCTTTATGCTTCTTGGTGCATTTTCATCCAGCTGAATGGTGTTATTTATAGGGAATGATTGCTCCCAATTGTCAAAATTTGTATCCCATTATTGTCAACAAATGGCTGCTGTGAATTAATACTTATTAATAAAAAATGCTACTCCACCTTTTCAAATATGGTTGGTACTTCATTTGCTGACTTTGGGCTGGATCCCACAATTCTCACCCTCCAGCCAAAGGGTAATATACTACAATTCTTTACATGCATTCCATGCCGATCAACTCGACACAAAGTTGAAGCTTTTCTCCTGTTACAACTTTCGTCATCATGTCAGCAGGGTTTTCGTCAGTGTGAATCTTTTCCAACTTGAACTGTTGTTCTTCCACTGCTTGACGTAGCCAATGATATCTGACATCAATGTGCTTCGTGCGAGAGTGGTACATCGCATTCTTACTCAAATCCAATGCGCTCTGACTATCACAATGGATATCGTACCTTTCCTGCTTCATTCCCAATTGTTGAAGAAACCTTTTCAACCAAAGCATTTCTTTTCCTGCTTCTGTCATTGCAATATACTCTGCTTCAGTAGTCGACAAGGCAACAGATTTATGCAATTTAGATTGCCAAGATACAGCTCCCCCTGCAAATGTAAACACAAGCCCTGTAGTAGATTTTCTACTATCCAGGTCACCTGCCATATCCGCATCTGTATAACCTTCAAGAACTGCGTTTCCTTTGCCGAAGCTCAAGGACTTATTTGAACTGCCTTTTAGGTACCTCAAGATCCACTTCACAGCTTCCCAATGATCCTTCCCAGGATTAGAAAGATACCTGCTAACAATTCCAACCGCGTGAGCGATATCTGGTCTTGTACAAACCATGGCATACATCAAACTCCCGACTGTTGAGGAGTATGGAACACCCGCCATAGCTTCTTTTTCTTCTTGACTCGTAGGACAACTTCGTTTACTCAATTTGAAGTGATTGGCCAACGGTGTATTGACTGGCTTAGCCGATTTCATGTTGAATCTCTCCAGAATTTGATTCACATACCGTTCTTGCGATAACCACAACCTCTTGGATTTTCGGTTTCGCAGGGCTGAGATCCTTCATATCAAAGGACTTTGCTAAGTCCTTCTTCAAATCACCAATCAGCTTCATATCCTGTACCACTATCAACATAACATCTACATATAACAAAAGGATAATGATTTTATCACCTGGAAATTTCTTAACAAACACACAATGATCTGCATCAGTCTTGGTATATCCATGGCTCGCCATAAATGAGTCAAATTTCTTGTACCATTGTCGTGGAGCTTGTTTCAGTCCATACAAGCTCTTCTTCAATCTGCAAACCATGTGCTCTTTTCCAGTCTTCTCAAATCCTTTTGGCTGCTCCATGTAGATTTCTTCATCTAGGTCTCCATGAAGAAATGCAGTCTTCACATCTAGTTGTTCAAGCTCCAGATCCAAGCTATCTACCAATCCGAGTACTACTCGAATAGAGCTCATCTTTACAACTGGAGAGAATATCTCATCAAAATCTATTCCTCGCTTTTGTCAAAATCCTTTCACAACTAAGCGAGCCTTGTATTTCAACAGCTTGTCACCATCTTTCTTAAGCTTGAACACCCATTTATTTTTCAAAGCTTTCCTGCCTTCTGGAAGCTTCACAAGCTCATAAGTTTCATTTTTCACCAGTGAATCCATTTCTTCTTGCATAGCTTTCATCCACTGGGATTTATCCTTATGAGTCTATACTTCTTCAAAGCTTTCTGGCTCCCCTTCTTCAGTGATGGTAATATACGTGGAACTAGGGTATCTCGTAGATGGTTGGATCGCTCGATTTGATCTCCTGAGCTGAGGCAGAGCTTCGAGGTCTTCTTGCTCTACACCTTCACCATCACCATCACCATCTTCTGTTGCTGGCTCATCATCAACTCTGAGTTCTCCATCACACTCTCCCCCTGCTGTGGCATCTCCAGGAGGTTTCACAGGTGAAAATCCACCTTACCACTTGATTCTATAGTTTCTGGTGAAGCAGAATCCGACATAGTTTCTTGCTCATGGAACACTACATCTCTGCTTCTGATAACTTTTTTATTTTCTGGATCCCATAACTTGTAGCCAAATTCCTCATCTCCATAGCCCAGAAATATACAAGGAATGGCTCTATCATCAAGTTTTCGTCTATGTTCCTTGCTTACGTGAGCAAAAGCTTTGCATCCAAACACCTTTAGATGAGAGTATTTAACATCATGTCCGGACCATACTCTCTCAGGGATATCAAAGCCCAAAGGAACAGATGGAGATCGGTTGATCAGGTAGCACGCTGTTAGAACAGCTTCACCCCAAAATGGCTTAGGTAGTTTAGCCGTTCTTAACATACACCTCACTTTTTCCATAATGGTTCTATTGATTCTTTCAGCCACACCATTATGTTGTGGGGTTCCAGGTACAGTCTTCTCATGCCTGATTCTATTATCAGCACAATAATTCTTGAATTCATGGGAAGAGTACTCCCCTCCATTATCTGAGCGAAGACACTTCAAAGGTTTACCAGTTTGTCTCTCCACCATAGCATGAAACCTTTTGAAGTACTTGAAAACTTCGTCCTTTGTTCTCAAGAAATATACCCACAATTTCCGTGAAGCATCATCAATAAGCGTTACGAAATATCTGCTACCACGGAGACTCTCCACTTCCATGGGTCCACATACATCAGAGTACACCATGTCCAAAATATTATCTTTCAGCTTCGAGGTTTTGCTGAAAGACACTCTATGATGCTTCCCAAAGAGACAATAATCACAAGGATTTAGTTTTGAATCTTTGGCAAATGGGATGAGGGACTTTCTTGCCAAAATTTGTAATCCTTTTTCACCAATATGAGCCAGTCTTTTGTGCCAAAAATTTGGCAAAGCATCATACTCGACTGCATTCAATCCACCTTTGACCAGCTTCACTTGAGTTCTGTACAGTGTCGATCTCACTGTACCTCTAGTAGCTAACAATGATCCTTTGGT